TTTTATTGCTGAGTAATATTGCATGTGGATTAGTTTACAAGGGCTGCCATAGCAAAGTGCCACAGACTTGCTGGTTCAAACAACAGAAATTTATTGTCTCATAGTTCTGGAGGCTGGAACTCCAAGATCCAGCAGTCAGCAGGATTGGTTTCTTCTGAGGCTTCTCTCCTTGATTTGTAGGTGGTACTTTCTCCCTGTGTCTTCACGTGATCTATCCTTTGTGTCTACATATCCTCTTCTTATAAAGACCTCAGTGCCGTCAGATTAGGGCCCACCATGATGAACTCATTTCACCCTAATTACCCTTTTAAAGACTCTGTCTCCAAATATAATCACATTCCGAGGTGCTGGGGGTTAGGGTATCAACATATAAATATGGAGGGGGACACAGTTCAGCCCATAACACCGTTGTATGTATATTCTACGATTTATTTTTCTACCAGCTGGTGGACATTTAGGTCGTTTCCAAGTTTTGGCTATTACAAATAAACCTACTATAAATATTAGAATACAAGTACACACATATGTTTTAATTTCTTTTGAAAAAGTAAGGGTGGAATTGCTGAGTAAGATAGTAATATATATTTTTAATTATCAATTTTATTGATCTTTCAAAGAGCCATCTTTCGGTTTCATTGATTTTGCTATTTTGTTGATTTCTGATCCTCATTATTTCCTTTACTTTGGTTTCTTAAGGTTGAAACTTAGATGTTGATTTGACACCTTTCTTCTTTCCTCATATAGCATTCAATGCTATAAATTTCCCTTCAAGAACTGCCTTAGCTACATCCCACAAATGTTATGTTATATTTTCATTTTCAGTTCAAAATAGTTTCTGATTTCCTTTATGATTTCTTCTTCAAACATGTGTTATTTAGGAGTTTGTGGTTTAATTTCCAAACATTAGAGGGTTATTCCAGATATCTTTCTATTTTGGATTTCTAATTTAATTCTGTTGTAATCAGAGAAGGAACATTGTATGATTTGAATTCTTTCAAATTTACTAAGAATTTACTTTATTGACCAGAATGCCTAGTAAGTGTTCTGTGTGCACTTGAAAAGAATGTGTATTATGCTTTTTTTAGCTAGAATGTTCCGTAAATATCAATTAAGTTGGTCCACAGCCATGCTACCCTGAACAGGCTGGATCCCGTCTGATCTTGGAAGCTAAACAGGGGGCCTGCTTAGTACTTAGTACTTAGTACTTGGATAGGAGACCACCTAGGAAGACCAGGTGCTGTAGGTGTAAAAAATAAGAGATTGTAAACTGACAAGGTCCTTGCAATCTGTGAGGTCAACCAAGGGTCACCTCGCCTAAAAAAATAAATTAAGTTGAATGATAGTGTTAATTATTCTAGTCTTACACATTTTCATTTTATGTGTTCTATCAATTAGTAAAGGAGATTATTGTTGAAATCACTAAGTATAGTGGTGAATTTGTCTTATTTCTTTTTAGTTTTATCAAGTTTTTGCCATTTCTATTATTATTTTTTTGAAGCTCTATTAGTAGAGCTTCAAATATATAGGATCATCAATACATAGGATTGTTGCGAGCTCTTAATTGATATGGTAACAATGATCATTATGTAATGTCTCTATCTCCGATGATATTCCTTGCCCTGAAATCTGTGTGTGATGTTAATATAGCCACCTCAGCTTTCTTTTGATTAGCATTTGCATAGTATATCTTTCCCCATTCTTTCATTTTTAATCTATCTTTGTCTTTGATTTTAAAGTAGGTTTCTGTAGCTGGTATATAGTTGGGTCTCACTTTTTAAATTCAGTTTGACGATCTCTAATTTTTAATTGTAGTTCGACCATACGTATTTACTATAATTATTGATATAGTTGGATTTACATGTGCCATTTCCCTGTTTGTTTTCTATATATCTTGTGCCTTTTTTTTATTCTGTTTCTCCCTTAATGTGATATGTTAGGGTAAACAAATGCTATTTTAGTAGACTCTTAGTGCCTCTGATTTTATTAACTTGTTTTTCCTTTTAGTTACTTGATTGGATGCTGGATATTGTGAATTTTACTTTGTTGAGTGTTGGATTTTTTGGAATTCCTTAAATATTTCTGGGATTTGCTCTGGGATGCAATGAAATTACTTAGTATCAGTTTGATCCTTTAAGGCCTTTTAGGTTGTTTTAAGGGGGGTCCAGAGAAGCCGTTGTCTCAGCCTAATTTAGCCTCACTGCTGAGGCGATGCCCCCCTGGGCACTTTACTCAGTTCCCATACATTGGGAAGACATCCCCCTCTGGGAGTCGCACACAAACTATTCCCAGCCCATGAGTTTTAATGAATGTTCCACTTCCTTCTTTCTGGTGTTTCTTTCCCCTCTTTGGGGTGGTTTCTTTCCAGGCACATGCCCTCAAGCCCTCGGTCAGTCTCAAGCAGATCCAGAGTTCCGAGCCTGTGCAGCTCCCTCTGCTCTGGCATTTGCCCTGCCGAGTTTAGTTTCCCAGCCTCTCCCAAAATCTGTCTCCTCAACTCCTCAGAAACAGGCTCTGCCCGGGTTTCCACCTCCCTCACTGCGGTCTGGAAACTGTATCCCGGCTGGAGGGTGGAGTGGTTGTAGGACTCACTTTGTTTCCCTTCTCTCGGAGTCTCTGTTCTGAGCTGTCCCGTGTTCAATGTCTGGAAATCAACCATCGTTTCATACGTTTTGCCCAGTTTACTAGTTGTTTGCGGTAAGAGGGCAAATACGGGCCTTATTACCCCTTTGTGGCTGGAAGCAAAACACAAAACCCAATTTTACCATACTGCTGTTCCACTCCTGACTTCTCTCTGTCCTGCCAGCTCTAAAATACAAACACCTTCACCTTGGGGTAGATGTCTTCTTACTCTGGCCATCTCCCCCAGCTCCAGTGCCCCTCATCCACTGCACCTGTCACACTGCGGGAGCTCCCCTAGCACAAAGTATCGGAACATCGCCTCACCCAACTTTTCTCCAACCTCAGTTCACTCCACCCAGCGTACTCCACTTCTTTGCCCCGACTCACCCCACTGCGTTCTGCCCCTTCTTTAATGCCTGAGTCAGTAGTTATCCCTATCATGACTCTGGACGTGGCACAGACTGCCGTTTCTTCTCATAGGGACAGGGGCAGGGTCTTCAACCTCTTGGCATGGCCAGCCAGGGGGGTGGAGGGGAGATGGCCACGTGGAGGCTGACAGCTGCTGGGCCTGTTCCTTGGTATCTGAGACTGGCATGCTCTTACCTCATTCATTCATCCTCAACCACAAGAGGCCCACTGTTCCCACTCCACTTTCTAGTCAGAGAAACTGAGGCTCAAGGAAGCTGTGTGCTCAGACCAAAATGGTGAGGCCAGTCCCTGCTCTGCTTCGCTTTTTCTTCTTCATTGAAAAAAATAAAGTTTTTATTTCCAAAACTATTATTTGCTGTGTAACAAGTTAATAATCTGTCAATAATCTTCTTTTCCCACATGTACAATCTTATTTCCAGTGTCCACAGTTTTTACATTATTCTTCCATTTTTCTCCCCTTGTTTACATAAGCACACTCAACTATACATAGACATAGGGCTTAAACATATTATTTCAAAAATGGAATCATATCATACACATTCCAGCTTTTCTCTTTGTTTTCAGTGATATAAAATTCACGCAGCATAAAATCCACCCTTTCTAAGTTTACAGTTCAGTGGCTTTCAGTATATTCACAAAGCAGCACAACCATCACCACAACGAACATTTTAATCACCCCAAAAAGAAACCCGGCACTCGTTAGCAGTCACTCCCCCTTCCACCTCCCCTCCCGCCCTCGGTAACCACTAATCTGCTTTGGGTTTCTATTTGTGTATTCTGGGCATTTCATACAAATGGGATCACGCAATATGTGGCCTTCTTTGTCTGGCTTCCTTCACTTAGCGTAGTGTGCAATGCATTCCCTCGGATAGCTGCATTATTTTCCATGGTCTGCCCGCAGGCCTGTACCTTAGTTTAGTCAACTGTTCTAGTTCTCATACCGTGGTTGGTTGGTTGGTTGGTTGGTTGGTTGGTTGGTTGGTTTTCGGTGTAAGTACGGTGCCACAGTCCCCAACCTTGCATTTGCTTCCTTATGTGAAGGAACTCTTGTTTCTTTGGTGTAAATACCCAAATGGGTGTAGCAGTTCCTCACTCCCGCCAAAAGTGCTTTCTCATCGTTGGGTTTCCAGTTTTTAATTTTTCTACTCTGATAGGTAAAAAGTGTTACCTTATTTTTGTTTCAATTTGCATTTTCCTGACAAAACTCACTGATCTTTTCTTAAGTCCATTGGAAATTTGCATTTCCTCATCCTTGAATGGCTTTTCTTGTTTTTAAATTCCCTCTCTGCGTACCTACTTTGCAAAATTAACAAGTGTCTAAATTTTGTCACATTTGCTTTCGATCATTTAAATAAACGAAATATTGCAAGTAAATGCAGAGTACTTCTTGTGTCCTCCCCTGTGTCTTTCCTGCCCTCCCCAGTATCAGAGGATGATGACCAAGCAAACACCATAGCACACTCCGATGGAAGCGTCACACATAGTAGTAACTCATTTAATCCTTACCACGATGCAATGACCTAGGTACTATCAGCAAAACCAGCCTGGGGAGGGCAGAGGAACAGGGGTTCTGGTGGGAAGGAGGAGGGGGGCAGGCAGGAAGGACACAAAGTGGCTCCTTTGGTCACTTGGGCACAGAACTTGCTGATAAGTAGTATAGCATTTCCTTTCTTAGGGTGTGATAATGGCCTTCTGTCTGAGGTTGAATCCTTTTGCACTGATGAGATTGGAACGAGGTTTCTGGGTTCTTTGTATTCCTTCAAGTTCTCTAAGATGATATTCTAGAGCCTGGTAAGCATAGCATCTTACCCAGAACTTATCACAACAGCCTCTTGCCCACCGTGGCGCCCGCACGTGGGCTACCCAGCTAGCCGAGACCTCCTGGTCCAGGACAGGTCCATGTGGTGATTCCTGCCCAGCCATGGTGTCTAAACACAGCCTTCCACGCCGAGGAGAAGGTCACGGAGGTTCGCCCTTCACTCCCTTGGAAGCGTGAATGCAATCAGAATCCCTCCCGTCCTGGGAGAGTAAGATTGTGCGTGTCATTCCAGGAATCGGTGACTTTTAAGGATGTAGCTGTGGACTTCACCCAGGAAGAGTGGGGCCAGTTGGACTCCCCTCAGAGGGCCCTGTACCGGGACGTGATGCTGGAGAACTACCAGAACCTTCTCGCCCTGGGTAAGATGGCTCCCTGAGGCTTGGAGTCTGCAGTCGGCCATGCTATAGGTATTATGGACCATTCCTTTAGCACCAGCCCTGGTCCCAGGCTCGGCAGGGTGTAGGAGTTGTGGTCTTTATGCCCAGGCCCTTGTGGCAGGGCTCTACAGTGCCACTGGCATCCTTGCCTAGAGGTGTGGCTGGTCACAAGGTGGGCTGAGACAATAGGGAGAGGTTGGGCAGGGTCCTGGGAGCCCAGCCTGCCCTGGAGCTTTCCAAAGAAGACAGAAGGGAGTGTCCATACCCCTGGGGTCCTCAGAGTGGGTGCCTCAATTTGGGTTCTGATTCTGAGACCACTGTCCTCGGGGATGGCACACACCTCTCAGTGCCAGCTGATGCTGTTCTGGAGTCTGTCCTTTCGGCTGGTTCTGGAGAGCTGCAGCACGCAGAGACATGCCACTCCTTCCCCACAAGCAGGACCTCCAGTCTGCAAACCGGACGTGATCTCCCATCTGGAACGAGGTGAGGAGCCATGGCAGGTGCCCAGAGAAGTCCCCGGAGGGGCTCATCCAGGTGAGAGGGGCACGCAGTGGAATGATGTGGAGTCCCTATCCTTGGCATCCCTCCCCACAACTCCGTGTGGCCCTCCCATCATGGCCTCATTTTTCTTCCACAGTCCACCGCCCCAGCTCCATCTGCACCTGCTCAGTGCCCCTTCTAGAATCCTCCGCATTCCCTTCCTTCCTTCAGCACACTTGTTAAGCACTGACTGTGTGCCAGAAACTGCTGGGAAAACAGAAGGAAAACAGGCAAAGACATCTGCCTTCTGTTGGCAGGAGACAGAAGCAATATCTACATGTATAGAAATATTTAACAAGTGGTGACTGTCGATGGTGCCAAGAAAAATGAAGCAGAACGGGCAGGAATGGGTGTGAAATTGGGGTCAGGGCTTCGCTCACTGCAAACAGGGCAGAGTCAGCCTGGGGGCTGAGAGAGACAGGGAGACAGTTCACAGAGGTGACTCCAAGGAGGATGCCCCTTCTGGGATACGAAGCTGGCAAGAGGCTTATTTAGCTTTTAAAGAGATGCTTGTACATCTCAGGGACATAATGCATTTAGAGTTTCAGGTGTTCTAAAGGAAATGCTAAAGAGAGGGGGGTGGGGAGTTCTTTTTTCCTTTTGGAACCAGGAAAATTTTTATTTAATAATTGTTTTTGTACTTGTTTTTACCCTGTGTTCACACCCGCCACTGACCTAGTTCAGACACACAACAGTCTCAGTTGATGTTTCAATGAGTGATGCATCCACGAGCCCTGCTCTTTTCAGAATTCCCTTAAGGGCTCCTTTCCCTGTTTCTTCCTCCTCTTCCCACCTCAGCGGCTTGCCTGTCTCATCCTGGGTGCGCTCCCTTGTCTCTGCCTTCAAGCTCCCTTACTCTGTCCCTCTTTGCTTTTTTGTATGCTTATCTACTTCACTGGATCAGATCTCAAATCTGAGTTCCAGTGTCACACTTCTGCCTACTGACAGAAAATTATATTTTCCATTTCTTATAGAATGGGAGCCCAGGCCTGAGATGAAGGAGGAGTCATGTCAACAGCAGGTCATCTACAAAGAGGAGCCGTGGCAGGCGTCGATCACAGAGTGGTTGGCAAGGTCCAGTCTCAGCCCTGGTCCAGGCGACCGGTGGGCCTGGGACGGCTCATCAGCTGCTCTGTCAAGAGGTGAGGCTGTGCTCTGGAGGCACGTGCCCGCTGGCTATGGGGACATTTCCACAGAGGAGCACTGGCAGGGACCTGAGGCACCTGAGGAGGCCTTTCCCCTCAGGTGCACCCTCCTCACCAAGCAGAGCAAAGGAACTCTCATTCCTACAGAGGAAGAGCCTCCTGACAGACACACTGAGCATTTCCAATCCAGCGAGGCCGTAACACAGCAGCAGAGAACGTGCGCAGGGAGGAACAGTTTCAAGTCAAGCGAACATGGAAAACCTCCACCCACAAACAGGCGTCAGGGCTCCAGTGCCAGGGAAGGTTTTTTCGCTTGTGACGAATGTGGAAAAGCCTTTCACCAGAGCTCGTCCCTCACCCTGCACCAGCGATGGCATGCGCGGGAGAAAGCATACAGGTGTAAAGAGTGTGGCAAGGCCTTCACCTGGAGCACCAACCTCATCGAGCACCAGAGAATCCACACGGGGGAGAAGCCCTTCCTCTGTGGCGAGTGTGGGAAAGCCTTCAGCTGTCACTCATCACTGAACGTGCACCACAGGATTCACACGGGCGAGAGGCCCTATAAGTGTAACGCCTGCGAGAAGGCCTTCAGCTGCAGCTCACTGCTGAACATGCACCTCAGAGTCCACACCGGCGAGAAGCCCTACAAATGCAGTGAGTGCGGGAAGGCTTTCAACCAGAGGACGCACCTGACGCGGCATCACAGAATCCACACGGGGGAGAAGCCATATAAGTGTGACGAGTGCGGGAAGGCCTTCACGTGCCACTCGTCCCTGACCGTGCACGAGAAAATCCACAACGGAGACAAGCCGTTTAAATGCAACGACTGCGAGAAGGCCTTCAATAACCGTTCACGCCTCACCCTCCACCAGAGGATTCACACGGGAGAGAAGCCCTTCAAGTGTGGCGACTGCGGGAAGGGCTTCAGCTGCCACTCCTACCTGGTCGTGCACCAGAGGATCCACAGTGGGGAGAAGCCCTTCAAGTGCAATGAGTGTGGGAAAGCCTTCAGCTCCCACTCCTACCTCATCGTGCACCAGAGGATCCACACGGGGGAGAAGCCCTTTGACTGCAGTCGGTGCTGGAAGGCCTTCAGCTGCCACTCGTCTCTCATCGTGCACCAGCGAATCCACACGGGAGAGAAGCCCTATAAATGCAGCCAGTGCGGAAAAGCATTCAGCCAGAATCACTGTCTCATTAAACATCAGAAAATCCACTCTGGGGAGAAGTCATTTAAATGTAACGAATGTGGCGAAATGTTCAACTGGAGCACCCACCTCACCGAACACCAGAGAATACACAGCAAAGAGAAGCCCTTTGCCATCCAGTTCAACAAACACTTGCTGAGCACATACTATGTTCCCAGCAGCCTGCTGGACACAGGGGGCACAGGCGTGAGCAGCATGGACCCCATAAATGCACTGGACATGGCAAAACTCCTGTGTGTGGTTCAGCCCACAGCCAGCAGGCATTTCCCCCTGGGTGGCAAACCTGGAAATTAATGTGGCGTGCTTGTCATCAAGTTAGCCACCCTCGCTCCTTCCCCAGGGTGAGCGGGGAAAGCACAGTGGCTCATAGCTCCAGACACGTGCACCTTGCCCCTCTGCCCCGTGCACATCTCCCGTGTGCTGCAACAGACACCCTCTGATTAGCAGTCGTCACCCCACCGGGCTACCCTATAAGAGAGGAGAGTTGAGAACCGGTTGAGGATGCCCTGTCGTCCTGTTTCCCCTGATAGGTTTGGATGTCACTGACCAGGGGAATAGATCTTTACTGCTGATAAAGAGAAGGTATGTCAGTCATGTCCTTCGATCGGCTCCAGGCATGATTTCCATCAGGAATGTTCTCTCTGAACCGTTATGTTTAGAATAATAATAATTTTTGAAAACCAGAAGAATTAATGAACAGTAGTCAGTATTACCTCCAAGTGAACATTATTGTATTCCAGGAGGGGAGAGTAATCTTGGATGGTGGAGATTTGGGGAAAAGGAGCTTTCCTGGACTCACCATACTTAAGTGGCTCTAGTGCAGAGTTAGAGGCGGCACAGCCATCACAGAAGCACAGCCTAGAGAGGTCCTGACATGCCGGCACCACGCCTGGCCCCCTGGTCCATGGTGGGAGGTTGGGAGTACACCAGCGGTCCCATGTGCATCCGGGGAAGATGAGTGCAGTGTTGGGATGGATGCGTCTAGAAGCACACTTCCCAAGCTGTTGAGGCTGCCTGCAGGGTCTCCCCAGGTGCCACGTAGCTCAGCTCACCGGTGCAGCCCTGAAGGAGAAGCCCCTTCATGGAGACCATCCCCACACTCCCTGCAGGGGTGGGGAGACACAGTCGTCGGGAGATAATGTCATTTCTGCCCAGTTCTAAGCAAGTATAAGCTGCCTTCTCAGTGACAATACTTTACATTTGTATAGAGCGCTATAGTTTCTGAAATGTTTTTTAGTATACTTTTTAAATTATGGAGGCAAAATAACCACATTTCAGAAAATGTGGAGTTAAGAGGAGAAAACACCCATAATTCTTAATAAAACTGCATTTCGCACTTTGAAGCATTACCTTCTGCTTTTTTCATACTGCATTTTCACATCACTTTAAACGTAGTATCACTTTACTCTTTTTTTCCCCCACTTAGTCACATAGCAGAATTTTTCTCCACATAACTGCACTGTCTTTGTAGTCTTAATTCTAAATGGAAGCATAGTATTCTACTAGATATTGTTTTGTCAGATGTTGAAGTTATTTCCATGTTTTACACTATTATAAATCATTCTTCATGGAGCATCTTTTGCATTATACTTCTTTAGAATTTTCTTAGAGTAGATTTCTAGAAGCGAAACTTTTGAGATAAAGGAAATGAACAGCTTCAGGAGTCATCTCAGTATGTTCCTGGTTGCGTGTGTGTGAAGTAATACTGTTTCATTATGAAGAAAGCAATCAGCAGCTGGTCAGGTGGGAGCATCCCCCGCTCGCCCATCTCCCAGACACAGGCACTGTTCAAAGCCAGGTGTCCAGACGGTCTCTGTTCAGGGCGTGGTGACGACACACATGATCCTGGACATCTGCTGCCCCATTGCCTTCCTCTGGAGTGTGTGAGCTGGCTTGGCATTATTTGGTCCCCAGGGACCACATCATGGCAGTCTCAGGACCTTCTTCTGTGAAAAGTAGGAAGAGTTCTGTTTTACAACAGCATTGGGAAAAGACAAATTTATACTTGATTCATTATTCTCTTATTTTTTTCTTCTTTTAAAAGAAATTAGAATGAAACCACCTTCATGGGCCCTGGACACCATGCCAACTGTCTGTCCTGTAGTGCTGTTAATGTGCTCAGTTGAATGGCATTTATTACTTCATGTTGCGCCTTTGATAACTAATGAAGCTGAATATGGAACATATTTTTATTATTGGTCTTTCTTCCCGAAAATTATTTCAATATACCGTATGGCCCTCTTCCTGTTGGAGTCTTGATGTTTTTATTTTATTTGCATATAAACTTTCTTTTCCAATTATATGAGAAATACATTACGTATTAAAGAAATATGAAAAAATCAGAAGTTATAAGAATAAAAATGACCCTCAGTGTCAGATCATGCGGCATCACGTGGAGATGCAGTTCCTTCTGGTTTATTTCCGTACACATACACACATGCTTTTTCTTTTAAAACAGAACTGGATTCACACACTGCATGTCCTTTTCATCCTTTCCCATTTAACGTTTTATGATGAGCATTTTTCATACTATAAAATACTTTCCAAAAACATCATTGATGGCTACATAGTTGTTTTTTTTTTTAATTGAGTTTATTGGGGTAACATTGGTTAATACAATTATGTAATTTTCAGGTGTACATTATCATTTGACATCTGTATATATTCTATTGTGTGCATAGTTTTTTATCTTACTGCACCTGTAGGTAATTCTGGACCATAAGCCTACATGCCCATGTTTGAATATTGCCTCAGAATAAATTCTGAGACGTGGAGTTAGCTGCGAGGTCACAGACGTTGCAACAAGCTGTCTGTGTCTCCAGGGCGGACCCAGCCCGGCGCTCCTGGTGGATGCCCTGCACGTAGGGCCTGAGGGTCTCCGCTTCTCCGTGCCCTTGCCAACACTTAACATCATCTCCTCACTTTTATGTTTGCCATTTTGATACGTTAGAATGTTATTTGTTGATTTTTTTAACCTTTTTTCCTCTTCATATGAATTTATTCCTGTCTTATTCACTATTCCATTCTTTTTTTAAAAAATATATACATGTATACACACATATACGTTGCCTTGGCACGTAGCTTTTCTATCTTTGTTACTGCATTTTTTATGTACAGAGGTTTTCAAATTCTGTGTAATAAGGTCTATTTGATTTTTTTCCTTTATATTTTTCTTTAGCTCTTGGAAAGCCTCTTCTTTAAGTCTTGTTTGGGTTCTGTATTTTACATTTAACTCTTAAATCCATGTATTTGGGATATAAAATCCAAGGTCTTAGCATTCATTCTCAAATTGCATTCTTCACTATTCTATAGATCTTTCTTTTCTTTTATTGTAGCTCTCATAATTCACTTTAATATGTGGTAGGACCAAGACCACATTTTTAGTAGGTTTTTTAAAATTGTTGTTATTTTATCTATTCTTCCAGGTGGCGCAGGAATCATTTTCTCAGAACCCAGCGTCTTCATGCCACTGCATAACTTATTGGGATTTTTATTAGAATTGACTAGTTTGTGAAGAATTAATAAGTTCTATATAATATTAAGTCTTCACAACAAATGTGGTAGATAGCTGTTCTTTCCAATCATTACCTATAACCATCAGGAAAGTTTTATAGTTTTCTTCATCAATGTTCTTACATTTATTCTTAAATTCGTTCTAATTTTGTGGGGTTTGTAAATCAGGTCTTTCTCTTATAAGATATATAGGACCACTATTGATTGTATATATCTTCCTGTATATTTATTTTATACTTAGCAACTTTACTGAATTATTCTAAGAAGGTCTCTAATAGCTTATCAGTTTATTGGGTTTTCTAGGTAAACAGTCATATCACTTGGAAATAAAAAGCTTGCCTCTCCTTTTTGTATAGATAGCCTTTTATTTCAAATCTTTTTTTAAACCCTCATTGGCCAGCACGACATTCAATGTTAGTGGCAGTGGTCATCTGTGGCAGACTCTCTTTGGGGTTGGGGACCAATGTGTGTCCATCTCAAAACACTTTGGCCTTTAAGATTTGGTTGTAGCTGGAATGGTCATGTGGCCCAATTCTGATCCATGAGGCTCAAGGAGAAGTTTGCCAGAGATGTCGAGAAAGTCTTTGCTTTCCTGATAGGAAAACCCTTCCTTCTCTTCTCCTTCCCGCCTGAAATTTGGATGCAATGCCTAGAAGTATCGTAGCCATCTTATAACCATGAGGCAATTGAAGACAAAAGCCACACATAGTAAAATGGAAAAAAAATAGAAGGATCCTAGTAGGCCTTGGATGAAATTTTAGAGCAGTTGTTTCAGCCACCGACATGTAATTCCCTGAATTCTTGCTATGTAAGAAAATTAAACAGCTTAAGTCCGTTTGTCACTCCTCACAGCTGTTTCATTCCTCACTGTTACAGCATTTGGGTCTTTGTTCTGACTTGAAAGGAGACAAATCTAGCATTTCGCTATTAGGAAATATCAGTCCTTGGCCATGACTGATTGTTTATCACGTTAATGAGCTATCTTATAGGCCTAGTTTGCTAAGACTTTGGAAAATCAAGATTCAATGCTGAATTTGACCAAACACCTTCTTGGCGTACCTTAAAAATGATTATATGGGTTTCTTTCCTTGTTATGGAGACATAATTGGATTTATGAAGAGATTTTCTAACATTATATCACCTTTGTGTTATTGGAATAAATCCCATTCAGCAATGGTGCATTAATATTTACGTGTGGACTTGCTTTTCTAGAGCTTGGGTTGCAACAAGCAGAATTGCCCAACAGTGAGTCTAAGATTTCACTCCAGGTTTGCCTGGGAACGAACCACCTGTGACCACCCAGCAGGAAGGGATGCCCCAAACTTAACTCATAATGGTGGCTGGGCTTCACCAATAGGATTGTCCTCTCACTTGCTCAAAAAATTAATTATGTGAAGTGGGGAGCGAGAGCCTCCCTTCGAACATGGCATTGTATCTATGAAGATCCCCAAATAGACAGGGTGTCTGCTTTGTTTTCTAGATGATGGGTTAGGACTGACTTAATCTTCTGAATCGTTGAAATGACAGATACTACTTTTGGAATCAGTACAATAAGCAATTTCCATTTTGAACAGTGATAGAGGGTCCATAGCTCTTCCTATGGCACTACTCCAGAATGACACCGTTTTTCCTGTTCTGACCAAAGCCATGACTAACAGAAGCAGGAAGGAGAGGCCAGGAGCACACATACTGTCCCAGTGAGGACCACCTTCCACGATTCTGGAACCTGGCAGCAAACTACGTTCCTTTTCAGTTTGCCTCTAGATAAGTTGTGCCAGAGGGAGCCACAGGCAAAGAAGGCAGTAGGACCTGCCTCTCACTCCTGGGTTCTCCTGAGCACCAGAGGGCAGAATCGGCTTTCCTGGCACCAGCGACACCTTGCCTTGTCCAGAGGTCACAGCGTCTGTGTGCTAGTTAGGATCGGGGTTAGGGTTGCGTTTTGGGTTGGGTCTGGGGGGTTAGGAAAGAAGATGAGGGCTAAGGTATTTAGAGGTTAGAGTTAGGGTTGGAATTAGGGTGGGCAATTTTTCATGCCATAAGCACCTGTTGGAGCAAGAAGAAGAGTGGGCATCACACCTGTGAGTGCTGGGGCAGGCAGAAATTGCACATCCACTTCCGTAAGTCTAGTGAGCCCTGTGAGTACTAGTTTGAGGACCACAGATATGCAGGCCAATCTGCACATGTCAGCAGAAGTTAAAGCTGACTCAGAGCCAGGATAGGCAGAAAAACCAATTAGCACCCTTTTCATATTGCATAAATTCTTCCAATAAAATTGTGAATTTCCGACTGAGTCGAGCCAGCAATGTCTGTTTCCCATTCAGTTTCCTCCTCTTGTGGAATCGTATTTGGGGGTGGTTTTGAGGTTGCTCAGGGGAGTCCTCTCCCACTGATCATGGTAGGGTGCATCCTCCTGCGGGGAGTCCAATCAATACTGTCAGGATTAGGGCACACATTACAGCTATTACTGCTTATGGCTTTAGGGTCCCCAGACTGAAGTTGGGAGCAGAGACGCCCTGTAGCGTATTGATTTGCAGCAGCACCAAAGAGGACCCAGAGTCACTGTTGGTCTATTTTACAGTGATCCCCTTTGGGTTTCAATGTGTCAGGGTCCCCAAATCACCATCAGGCTTGATGACTCGCTAGAAGGACTCACAGGACTTATTACCAGGAAGGGATATAGGTTCAAACTCACAAAGGGAAAAGACACATGGGGACAACACCCAGGAGAGACCAGGCGCATGCACTCAGGTGTCCTAGTGTTGTCACATGGGTCACACTTAATTCTCCCAACAACAATATGTGACAATACATGCAAAGGGCTGTGATTAGGGAAGCTCATCAAGCCTTAGAGTCCAAGGGTTTTACTAGGGATTGGTCATACGGATTGCCTCACCCATGTGACCGATCCCCACCCCTCAGATACCAGCCGCCACTTCCCCCTCCCACCCCAGAGCAAAAACAGATGCTCACAATAAGTCACAATCTTAGGAAAAGCTTATCTGGTTAAACTAGTACATGTAGCACAAGGCCTGAAGCACACAAACACTCTTACCTGCAGAATAGTCCAGGTACTCAACAGTGATCTGAACACAGGCCTGCCTTGGGAATGTGTGGGCTTTGAGCAAGCCAGGCCCGCTGAGTCAATTCTTTCCTGCTCAGATGCCCTCTGGCCCTTTAGAAAGACCCAGCTTACAACATTTCAGGCCATTTTTCCTACATGTTGGTACCACTGGACACCTTGCACATTTTCACCTATTACACTGAGAATCAGGATCTCGATACAGCAGAAGCATAGGCGATGGTGGCAGCTACAAAGGTGTTTAGTCCCCAGAGGGTCCCAGTGAGCTGGTTGAGACAGATAACCAGCCCTCACAGAATAAGTCCTTCCCCTGATCCCTTATGCTGATAAGGGAGCCACGATCTTGTATTCTTCCCCTAAAGTGACTCAGTTCATAAATCCATAAAAAAGGCTCACTGGGAACTGTCAAGTGGAACACAGCTCAACACAAACACACAGGGCAAGCCCACCCCGGAAACAGGGAACCGTCCACTCGCCATGAGCCGGGGTTCGTACTCCACGACAAAGAGCAAGAGAAGAAGGATCTCAGATGACGGCAGTCCCAGCCTGCACCATCCCAACTGTTCGGTAATTATCTTATGGTCATCTTACGAAAAGTGTGATGGACTTGCTTCTAACAAATAGGTCAGCTCTCGAAGTTGATGACATTCCACACAAGAATATTTTAAAGAAGCGTAGTAATCACACAAAGAGGCTCGGTGAGGAGAGCAGGTCAGCACAAGCACCTGCCACATGTGTGTATGGCCTTCATACGGACCTGGCGTGGGTCTAAGGCAAGTTCTCAAGCTGAGGACTGGGGTCCCAGGTTCGAAGTTCCACAGGTGCCACAAGAGGGAGCAGGACCTTTTATTAGCTGGTCCTGATGTGAGGAAGAAAGAACATGGGACTTGACCACTGTCAGTGGTCAAACTTCGAAAATAAAATCAGACTCTAATTCAATTCACCCCTGATGGTGACACTGTGATCTGTAATAAGAAATATATATATTTGGTCTTAGTCCTCATTCCAGGCAGAACTCCTAAAATCTTTCAAATTTCCTAAGTGATGAAAGTGATAAAGGTGTCTTTTGTTATTTATGTTAATGAGGTGAATTTTGGTAAGTGCTTAAGGATGAGGGCTGGTTACCAGAAGAACCAAGCACAGGATTCGAGGGTTGGAGCTTTCAGTCCCACCCGCTGAGGGAGGGGCAAGGCGGAGGGAGGTTGAATCAATCGCCAATGGCCAATGATTTAATCAATCATGCCTAGTAATAAAATCTCCATAAAAATCCAAAAGGACAGATTCAAAGAGCTTCTGGCTTGGTGAACACGTGGAGGTGCTGGGAGCAGGGTGAACCTGGAGAGGACGTAAAAGCTCCGGGCCCTTCTCCCATACATCGCCCTCTGCATCTCTCTTATCTGGCTATTCCTGAGTTATATCCTTTTATAATAAACTTGTGATCTAGTAAATAAACTGTTTCTCTGAGTTCTGTCAGCTGCTCTAATGAATTAATCCAACCCAAGGAGGAAGTCAAGGCACCTCCCGTCTGTAGCCGGTTGATCAGAAGCACAGGTAACAACCTGGTGTCTAAAGTAGGGGGCAGGGGCAGCAGTCCTACAGGACTGAGCCCTTAACCTGTGGGATCTGACACTGTCTCCAGGTAGATAGTATCAGAATCACGTTCATTGCTTGGGGGTGTTGGTAAAACACACAGTGGGTTGATAGTTCATTGATGAGTGCAATATGACATTTCTCATTTACTGAGGTTTTATTTGTTTAAATATAAATTAAGAAACATAAGCTTATGCAGAAAACTATAGTGAGAATGAGAAGGCCTTGGAAGAGTATACATAGCCACTCATGCAGGATGTCAGGGACAGCCAGGACAAATGTCGGGGGGTGTTCTGGGCATTTGCTCAAATAGCTGAGTGACATTATTAACAACTCTAATCTGTTGTCTCATCTGCCGGTGCATTGAGCAAATATGCCTGTCTTGCTTACCCATGTGAGGTGCCCCGAAAGAAGAAAAGCCCCCCCGGACGGTCAGTAGATAGCCTGATGCAGGAAGATATACAGATGGCAAAGCACATATGAAAAGGCGTTCCCCACCATGTCATTAGGGAAATGCAAATTAAAATTTGAAATTAAAGGAAATACTACTACACATCTATTAGAATGGCTCAAATCCAAAACACTGACAACCAAACGTCGGTGAAGATGTGGAGCAACAGGAACTCACATTCATTGCTGGCTGCAAAATGGTTCTGCCAGTTTGGAAGATAATTTC